CGAACCTCGTTTTCATTAACGAACTTCATCTTCGACAGCTGAGTCCAACTACGTAGCAAGTCTTGTAAGTTTCCTTTTGACGAGCCTCATCTTCACTAATGAGTTTTACATCTAGTAATGAGCTTCGAACCTCGTGTCCAATGACGAGCTTCGAATCCCGTATCCACTAGTGAACCTCGAACCTCGTATCCAATGACAAGCTCTGAACCCCGTATCCACTAGTCAACCTCGAACCTCATATCCAATGACGAGCTCCGAGTCTCGTAGATCAGTTTCATTCAACAATGAGCTTTGTCTTTTGATGTCAAGCTTTGCTGCGTGGCGACTCTCGTTCTCAAGGTTGATTTTCACTAAACGACAAGTCTCGTCTCTAATTGAGATGAAGTTCGTTTTCCTGACCATCCTTCTCATATTTTGGAACTTGTCATTTTTTTTAATGCTTACAGAGTTACATCATCCTCCACCTGCTGTGATATCTTAATTGTCTGGTCTCCCTCCACCTGCTGAGGGACTCAAGGCCTCATCATGTACGCCTCATCGAATGTGACATCTCTGCTAATAACTATCTTCTTATCCTGTGGATCCCATAACTTGAAACATTTGACTCCATCTCTAAATCCCACAAATACTGCTTTCCTCGCTCTCGGATTTAATTTACCATCACTAACATGGTAATAAGCTAGACACCCAAATATCCGAAGCGACTCATAGTCACTAGCCACCAAACCAAACCAACGCTCCAAAGGAGTCTTCCCGTCTATCGCAGTGCACGACAACCTATTCACAAGATGGCTCGTATAAACTAACGCATCGACCCAAAAGGATCTAGGCAATCCACTCTGCGTCATCAGACATCGCACCTTCTCCAGTAAGGTACGATTCAATCTCTCAGTCACCCCGTTCTGTTGTGGTGTCTCTCAAACTGTGAAGTGTCTTCTAATGCTGTGATCCCGATAAAACTACAAAAATGGATCATTCTTGTACTCTCCACTGTTATCTGAATGTAGAGTCTTCACCTTTCTACCTGTCTGCAGCTCAACTTTCTTTTTCTACTCCACAAAAATATCCAGGACCTGATGTTTATGCTTCATAGGGTATACCCAATTCCTCCTAGAATAGTCATTAATGAAAGTAACAAAATAGTTGGCCCCACCAAGAGATGTGTTCTTGGAAGGACCCCAAACATCTGTATGAATATAATTTAATGTACCTCGGGTATTGTGAATAGCGGTGTTAAACTTCACTCTAGTCTTCTTCCCAAGTACACAATGCTCATACAGTTTTCATCTTGCAGGTCTTAGCACCTTTCAATAGCCCCTGTTTCGCCAATGACTGTAGGGACTTATCACTTGTGTGTCCAAGTCTCATGTGTCATAAAATGGTAGTATCCTCCTCTGTAGTGATAGAAGGTGCCAGACTCTCTGTAATTGTCTTACCCTTCAAGTAGTATAGGTTGTTTTCCCTGACACCTCGCATCACCATCATAGAACCCTTCGTGACATTCACTGTAGCATCCTCTAAGATCACTCGATATCCTACTGCCTCTAAAGTCCCAAGAGAAATGATGTTCTTCGTCAACTGCGGCACGAACCTCACTTCCTTCAACTCCCTAATCACTCTGTCATGCATCCTAATCCAGACTGAACCAATACCACTAATAGGGCATACGTGGTCATTACCCATAAGCATGACATCCCCTCTTTTCAGCTCCTCAAAGCTAGAGAACCAATCCCTCCTAGGACATATGTGATATGTAGCTCCCGAATCCATCATCCGCTCCATGGAATCAGCATAGCAAACCGACGGTAGAGCAGGGCACGAGTAGCGTGAAGAATCTGAATCTGAATGCTCACCAATAGCTTTTGCAACATTCACTTCTAAAGCTTGTGCAGCTTTCCCTTTGTTCTTCCCGGGTTTTTTTCCCCTTTGGGCAGTCAATCTTCCAATGTCATTTTTTTACAATGCCGACATTGATTTCTACCAACACTCTTATAGGCACTCAAATTCTTTGACTTTGAGTGGTTGAACTAGCAGCGGTTTAGATCACGGCCTCGAACAGCTAATGCATCTCCCGATACCTTCTCGGAGGGTTCACTATCATTCTTCCTCAACTCATAATTTACCAAGGCTGAGGTTACCTCCTTATAGCTAACTGTAATTCTTCTATTGATTATAGTTAGAACAAACGTACCATAATCATCCTCGGGCAACAAACACAAAAGTAACACTGTCTTGTCTTCATCCTCAACTATGATGTCCTCATTGGCCATATCTAAAAGTAGCTTAGTAAAATTGTTGACATATTCTCTGATGGAAACTCCCCTCTTCATCTTGAACTGGTAAAACATCTTCTTCAAGTGAAGCCGATTCTCAATGCTCTTCGTAAGACACTTCTCATTGAGTGTTTCCCACATCTTCTTCGCCGACGTCTCGTTCATTACATCATAAATAAGATCCGACGTCAAGCATGACCTAATAACACCACAAGCTCTACTGTTTATCTTCCTCCAAACATTATCCTCCATATCAGCAGGTTTCTCTTTTAGCTCAAGAGTCTCCTCTAAATTCTGTGCATCCAAGGTGTCCATCACCTGACACCTCCACAATCCGAAATTGATCTTACCGTCGAACTTCAGAACATCAATATTCGTTTTATTGATGCTCAGACTCTGTATCGCCTTCATAAGAGACGAACATGATGTGCTTGCATCTCCCATGTTGTCGATCTAACTTTTCAGATAGGAATCTTCACTGAATCCTTCGAACGAGCATGAAGCTCTGATACCAATTGTTGTGCGTGGCAGAAGCTTCTCGGAACGACACAAACAATCCAAGAGATAAATCACAACTAATAAGCCAAACACAATATCACAGCAAAACAACGAGTTTAACGTGGTTCGGCAAGTTGCCTACGTCCACGGGGCAAGGAGGGGGGAGTTCTTACTATTAGAAATCAAGAGAATACAAAGAGAGTTACAAATCTCACCGATCAAACTCTAAAACAAAACTCTAGATCTTTCACAAATCTCCCACAATTGGATACAGCAATCCTCTCCAAAAGACTGCTCAAAATCATCCTTGCTTAACCCTAATTAATCAGGTTTAGGGTTATATATCAACTCAAAAACGAACCGGGTCAAAAACCAAGGCCCAGCCTAAAATCAGAGTGCGGTCGACCGCGGCGGTTGACCTTGCAGGTCTCGCGGTCGACGGTACGAAGCTCACGATCGACCGAACACCCCCGGCAGAGAACCAAAATCCTACAGTCAAACTCGCGGTCGACCGTGACGGTCGACCGAACTGATTTCCCAAGAGATAATCGCCTACAGGGTCCCCGCGGTTGACCGCCACGATCGACCGTCTTTAGCTCCGAATCCTACTGGCCTTCGTACACGTTCGCGGTCGACCGCGACGATCGACCGCCAGTCTGTCTGGCTGATTCTTCTGCTGTTTTCCTGCACTCTCTCGTCATTACTTCAAAATTAACCTAAAATTTTCAAAATTTCCTAACGTTAGAAACAAGTACTCAGTGGAAAAAAATAAGGGGGGGTCAGAACAGCGCACGTGGAGAATAAAGTTGACCAGTTGAGGGTTTCGTTGGCTAAACTAAACTTGGGAGAATGGGGTTTCATGAGAGAAGTAGGGGAGATTTAGCAGGGAAAAGGGCCAAAGTTCAGGGGGTTTCATGAAATTAACCTTTTAATAAAAGTATTCACAAGTCGAGAACTAGAACAAAACTGAATGTCCAGTCCACCACGGGGTCAAAACTAACTTGTCGTGTTGACAAGTCCTCTATCACCACAATGAGCTGTGAGGTGCGAAGAAGACGTCAAAGTCTCATCACTTGCTTCCAAAGTCTAACCATAAAAAACCCCACTCGGGGAAAAAAAAGGAAACAAAATAAGAAGGAAAGGAAAAAAACAAGAAATCTATGTAATTTCGTTTGAATTACAAAAACATCTTTTCAAACATTGAATGGGTTTGGATGAGAAAAACATATTAGAAATTAACCTAAAAAATTTCAAAATTTCCTAACGTTAGCAACAAGTACTCAGTGGAAAATAAACAAGATTTAGAGTTTCTTAAACAAGAGAGAGAGAAAAAAAAACAAGGGGGGATCAGAACAGCGCACGTGGAGAAGAAAGTTGACTAGTTGAGGATTTCGTTGGCTAAACTAAACTTGGGAGAATGGGGTTTCATGAGAGAAGTAGGGGAGATTTAGCGGGGAAAAGGGCCACAGTTCAGGGGGTTTCATGAAATTAACATTTTCATAAAAGTATTCACAAGTCGAGAACTAGAACAAAACTGAATGTCGAGTCCACTAGGGGATCAAAACTAACTTGTCGTGTTGACAAGTCCTCTATCACCACAATGAGCTGTGAGGGGCGAAGAAGACATCAAAGTCTCATCACTTGCTTTCAAAGTCTAACCATAAAAAACTTCACTCGGGAAAAAAAAAGGAAACAAAATAAGAAGGAAAGGAAAAAAAACAAGAAATCTATGTAATTTCTTTTGAATTACAAAAACATCTTTTCAAACATTGAATGAGTTTGGATGAGAAAAACATATTAGAAATTAACCTAAAAATTTTCAAAATTTCCTAACGTTGGCAACAACAAGTACTTAGTGGAAAATAAACAAGATTTAGAGTTTCTTAAACAAGAGAGAGAAAAAAACAAGGGGGGGTCAGAACATCGCACGTGGAGAAGAAAGTTGACTAGTTGAGGGTTTCGTTGGCTAAACTAAACTTAGGAGAATGGGGTTTCATGAGAAAAGTAGGAGAGATTTAGCAGCCAAAATGACCAAAGTTCAGGGGGTTTCATGAAATTAACCCTTTCATAAAAGTATTCACAAGTCGAGAATCAGACCAAAACTGAATGTCCAGTCCACCAGGGAGTCAAAACTAATTTGTTCGTGTTGACAAGTCCTCTATCACCACAATGAGCTTTGAGGGGCGAAGAAGCCGTCAAAGTCTCATCACTTATTAGCTTCCAAAGTCTAACCATAAAAACCCCCACTCGGGAAAAAAAAAAAGGAAACAAAATAAGAAGGAAAGGAAAAAAACAAGAACGGAAAGAAAATTTTCAGTCCGCGTTTCTCCTCTATTTAACGCGTTAACGCCGCGTACTTCCGCAATTTCTCCCATCAAAATCCCTAATTTTCTCTCATTTCCATTCTCGACCTCAATCGAGAAGAAAGATGACGACGATGCTACGATCGTGCTTTCGTCCGTTAGAGCGATGCTTCGGCCGCCTCGGCACCGGCGACGGCCTCTTATGGCACCTCGACCTGAAGCCCCATTCCTCCGGCGAGTTCTCGATCGCTGTCGTTCAAGCGAATTCATCGTTGGAGGATCAAGGCCAGGTCTTGACCTCGCCGTCGACGACCTACGTCGGCGTCTATGATGGCCATGGCGGACCTGAGGCCTCTCGCTTCGTCAACAGCCGCCTCTTCCCTCATCTCCACAGTAAAACCTTAACTCAAGCCCCGGTAGAATTTTCAAAACTCGATTTTTTTTTCTTCGTGCGTTGAAAGTGATAAAGTCTCGATCTTCCTATCCAGAATTCGCATCGGAGCAGGGTGGACTGTCGACGGAGGTTATAAAGAAGGCGTTTGATGCGACGGAGGAGGAGTTCTTGCATTTGGTGAAGCACTCGTGGGTGTCGCGGCCGCAGATTGCTTCGGCAGGGTCGTGCTGCTTGGTGGGGGCGATCACTGAGGATGTGATTTACGTGGCCAATTTGGGGGATTCGAGGGCGGTGCTGGGGCGGAAAGGGGCTGATGGGAGAGCTGTTGCCGAGAGATTGACGAACGACCATAACGTCGCAGTTGAGGAAGTGAGGAAGGAGCTTGCGGAGAACCATCCGGACGATTCGCATATTGTTGTGTATAATCGAGGAGTTTGGAGGATCAAAGGGATCATCCAGGTGAGGAGCAACCCCTAAAACCTTTGATTTGGTAGTACATAGAGGTTACCGTATTCCATTAATAGCTCATGTTTGTTATTATGGATTCACAGTTCTAAGCAAGTTTAGGTAAGGCGAATAGCGATAGCTTGTCAGGTCGTTTTGGTTTATAATTGGAACCTCGTATTCCATCATCGTCGGCTGTTGTAACATGAATTTTATCGTTAGGTTGTTGCCATAGATGAATAGGGAGTGGATAATGAGAATTCATACCCATCACGGACTATACCGCGCGAAATGAACTAGAGTAAGTCGTCATTTTATTATTATTGTACTACCAGCAATGCTGTTTGAGCGTCTTCTATTAAGATTTAGGATTTCTAAAGGGCTAATGTCTTCTGTTGGTCGTATGCAAACATGTTATCCATACTAAGGACTCGTCAACAGATCATGCGATACGAGCCATAGACATCCGAAAATAAAGCTTACTGATGATGTCCGTGGGCAATCGGAATAAGTTGTTAGTTCGATCTATAGTGATTGGTCTACATCTTCTCAATCAGGAGCAACATCATGCCGTTCTTCTATTCATCTCGTTTTTATTTCTCTTTAGGGATTCACCGTTAAATTTGAGCCGGCGATGTTTACAGGCACAGAAAGTCCACATTTATCCATTTAATCTTTGATCTATTTGTTAGATTACTGATTTTTTAGGCATGTCGAAGTTTCTTGTTCTTTCTCTGGGACAAGGGGCCACTATTCCCCCGCTGTCTCGGTGGATAGTGTGCAGGGCAGACAAGAAAGAATATTTTCCTGCTGCTTTAGTGGGTAGTGGCCACCAACACCGAAGGACCCATCTTACTTTAATGGAGGTTGTGTCTTTAATAGTGCTGGTGTCCACTTCCTAAATGCTAAATGGTCACCTTCCACTGCTGCTGAGTTGAAATTTCATGAAGGCCTTTAATGTGGAGGTTTTGTATTGGGTAGAAACATCACATGAATAATTGGATTTGGATCTAATTTTGTAGTATCTCAAGATTGGTCGTATTGTTCTTGGCCCTTTGTTATATTTCTTAAATCAATAATTGGCGGAGCGATTTACATGAATCATGCTCATCTCAATGGAGCTTTAATTTTTTATTTTTATTTTTTGGATAAAAAGCATCAGCACATTGAGGATGTTGGTCTTGTTGGCCTCTAGTGTATTTGAATTCTTCTAAATGAATTTTTGTATCCATACCACATTCATGTGGGTCTCTAGTTTATTTTACTGCCTTTAAGTGGGGATCTTTATCCATATATAGTCATCTCTGTTAGAAGAAAATGGTACAGAGGGTGAGAAAGGGAAGGCTTTAAATGCATATTCTATTTTATTGTTATCTTTACCTGGCTAGGTTCTCTGAACTTGTTGATACTAAGCTAGTGGTTCAATTTATTCCTCAAACAATATTGACTCATTTGCATGTTTTTAAAGCATTTGACCGGACATCTTTTGATTTGGAGCAAGTTAGTCTCAGGAAGTTCTTTAGAGAACAAGCTTGTTTCTATGTAACTGTTTGCTTGCCTTCTGTCCTAATTTTTTTATTCCTTGATTTCTTCGGATTGGGCTCTTCTGGATTGATAATTCTTCCATCATTTTTCAAATCCATACTGCAGTTGTCATCCTATTTGATTAGTGCAATGACGGGAATTAGTTTTCTTTACTGTTAGCGTAGTAGTGGGGTTTACATTATTAGTGCTAACTTGTCTTGCTATAAAGCTATATTCTGTTTGCTTGCCTTCTGTCCTAATTTTTTTATTCCTTGATTTCTTCGGATTGGGCTCTTCTGGATTGATAATTCTTTCATCATTTTTCAAGAATCCATACCGCAGTTGTCATCCTATTTGATTAGTGCAATGCCGGGAATTAGTTTTCTTTACTGTTAGCTTAGTAGTGGGGTTTACATAATTAGTGCTAACTTGTCTTGCTATAAAAGCTATATTCTGTTTGCTGGACGAGATTCTTGATCATTATGTCTTTTCTTGGTTGTACTTAATAATATCTTCATTGTTCCTTTTGAAGTCATTATGCGTCTAAAATTCTCCTTTTCAAAAGTTAACATGGTATTCAGCACTAACTTTTCCGATTATATGCTTCATAAAAGTAAGAAAGTTAAGCAAGTTGATTGTTATATTTGTTAACCTTATCCTCAACATTATTATTGCAGCCACTAACCTCAAGTCTTCAGGATGATTACTGAAACAACTGTCATATTGTGTAACTGTTTGATGTTTGTTGACTTTATTCGTATTAGTAGTCATTTGATCTGTCTTTTCTTGTCATTTAATTTTTATCTATTGCACTCAGGTAGGTATTTATTCTATGCCTCGTATGATTCCTCAGTGACCTTTTATCCTATTTTATATTTAACATTCTTGTTTTTGAGGAACACAAGTATCATGCGCTGGTAGTCAGATGTGTACTGGGTTGAAACTTAATACATATTTGGGGTTTGATCTTTATGCAAACTTGAGAGGATTGATTTTACAGGACATCCTCGTTGCATTTTAGCTTGCAGTATTCCGTTTTATTCCAGAGATTACTTCAAGTTCACGTGATTTTTATTTATTTATAAAATGGAAAACTATTAACATCTCAAGGCAATCAGGAACATCACTGATCTCTTCTTCGAAGTTTTGATCTTTCTGCATAATCAAGGATTTTGCCATATCCAATCTGTCACATGTTTACTAAAGAAAATATACCTGCAGATAGTAATATAGGCCGATACCCACTTAATCATGGGCATATTGATGAGCTCCTAAAACTTTACATTAAAATTGATGACTGAAGATTGTTGTTTTTCATTTGCAGGTATCAAGGTCTATTGGTGATGTCTACTTGAAGAAACCCGATTTCAGTAGAGACCCATTATTCCAGCAATTTGTTTCTCCTGTCCCATTGAAGCGAGCTGTTATAACTGCAGAGCCCTCAATTCGAACGAGAAAGCTCAAGCCAAATGACTTGTTTGTGATTTTTGCATCAGATGGCCTCTGGGAGCAGTTAACCGATGAAGCTGCTGTTGAGATAGTATTCAAGAACCCGAGAGCAGTAAGCCCCCTTCTACCAGTAATAAAAAATAAAAAATTCCTGTCCAGAGGAGAGGGTGACACCCTGGCAATTCAGTGCAGTCACCTATCAATGCACTCTGATAGACTTTAGTGATGTACGCATTGAGATTCGTGATATGCTAGATGTCGTCCTCTCCTAGAGAAAGCAAAACATTTTCCATTTTTCGCTTGTTTCATGTTCTTATTATTTTCTATGAATTTTTTAGGGAATTGCGAAGAGATTGGTAAGGGAAGCCCTGAATGAAGCTGCAAAGAAAAGGGAGATGAGATATAGTGACATAAAAAAGATAGAAAAGGGAATAAGAAGACACTTCCATGATGATATAACATGCATTGTGATTTATCTCGATCAACATCGCCAAGGGAAGCGAAATAAAGCCGATGGAAATAGTTATGACTACACCAGTGCTCCTGTCGATATTTTCTCCTTCAATTCCGATGAGTCTGAGGCTCCTCTTCATCCTGTGAAGTGAACTATGAGGTTGTCATATAAATGATATATATTATACATAGGTTTATCTAACGGAAAAAGTGATTGGAGAAATTGGGCTTAGAATAAAACTTAAGAGGAGATGTACATAACATGACTTTTGAGGGTCTGTTTATATGTTGGCTCGCAAATTTTGGATATTTATGGGGACTTCTGCTTTTGCTGATTTACTTTGGGGTATGTTTGATTCTTGGAGTTACTTGTTTGTTGACATAATCTACTGAGTGCTTCCATTAACACTACAGCTGCAGCAGGTGTAGGTAGGTGTAACGTATTCATATTCGTTTTGTCGTAGCGGTTAGGGATAGGCATGCCTATATTCTTTTGATTGTGAAAATAGAAGTTTTGTAGCCCAAGGGCAAATTATGATTATTTCTCCATAATTTATAGCGATTATAGTTTTCCATCGAAAAAGGAACAAAAAAAAAGGAAATTTGACGATATGTTTTATACTATGATAAACGACATAAAAGGAAAGAGAAATATGATATCATACTAAACTAAGTATTCGTCGATGTTGTCGCACAACTTCTACTAGATAACACCAAGTGTAAATTTCAGTAAACACCCCTCCCCCCCAACCCCTCAAAAAAATGTACATATATATAGGAACTATCACGAAGCTCCCCTTTACCTTTCATATTTTATCAAAAAATAAACCCCTTTTAACATTCATATTTTATTAGAACCTCCCTAATTTCGGGGGTGGAGGTGGTGAGGAGGTTCTCTGATAAAATCTCAAAGTTAAAGGAAATTTTCTAATAAATCTTAAATTTTTACGGAGTTTTCCTGATGTTTTGAAAGTTGGGGTATGTAGCCTAATAACAAATAATAGATATGCATTATGATATACCCATCCTCTTGTATCCTGTATGCCCTCTGGTATTCAATATTGTTTACGACTACCAATATTTTTAGTTTTATTTAATTAAATAATAGGGGTAAATCTTCGACTAGGATATGGAGGCTGGGGCTCAAATCGGACGTTCAATATTGGCAAGGACTATCTATTATTTTCGATTCAAATAATAGGGCATCAAATACCGGTATTTGTCAAGGACGTGGAAATGGATAAGGATTTATATTCTTTTTTACAATATGCTTGATTCTTGGGGTATGTTTTACTCAAGAGTATGATGTGAAAGACGAAGAAAAAGGGAAAGTCAATTTAGACAGCGAGAATAAATACTATTCTCTTCTTGCTCTTTAAATCTCCTAGATTAGATGAAGACCATTTACCGGAAAGAATGGACTAAGTGCGTCTTGAATATTGTCCCAAGATCACGAATGAAAATAAAGAATTGACTTGAATATTCTCCTAAAGACAAACAACCAATATTACTGGTGAACTGTTTTTTGTGCTTGGTAGTGATGTGTCACATCTCCATCCACTCATCATCCATGTGAATGTGGTCCCACATTTGAATGAGTGGAGGGAGATGTGACACCTCACTACCAAGCATAACTTTTTGTGCTTGGTACCAAGCATACCCTCACAAAACAAAGTATTTCCTATTTTATCACTTTGAAGCAAAATTAATAAATATATATAAATAAATAAAAAGATCTACTACTTCAAATTCTTGAAAATTATTTGACCGAGACGGATAGATTATCTGATATTTTGGATTTGACTTTGTCTTGTAGAAAGTTCGGAAATATTCAATTAAGATAAAGACGTGAAACCTGTAAGATGCAACTAAAATAATAGCCAGATATGCTAATATATCCTTCGGTTCTCAATCTGCTTCCCTTCCGATAGTTATCTAGATTTCAAACATTCCCCTAGTATGATTTTTTTTTCCCTTTCAAATATTGAATATAAATATATTTCTGCTATTTGTGGTTGGTGTTGGAGATTGAACAAGTCTACAAATGTCATAAAACAGCCCTTAACTTTTGGGTTTATCAGAAAACCCTTTAACTTTGAGATTTTATTAGAAAATACCTCTACTCCGTCACAAAAAAAACAGAGGGGCTTCCCAATAAAATATAAAAGCTAAAGGGCATTTTCTGATAAAATTTTAAATATTAAAGGGAGATTTTGTAGAAGTTCCTACACTTAAGGAGGATTTCTTAATCTTTGAAAGTAAAGCGGGGTTTCTAGTAATCATTCAAAGTTAAAAGGGGGGTTTTCTGATATTTACCCGTCAGCATCACCACGGAGGAATTAGGAGTATGTTGATGAAGACAGCATAATTTGTCGAGTAGTATTCCCATTACAGCCAAATCCTATGCGGGGAAATCTGCACCACTCATGTTTGAGAATAATTACGAAAATACCCTGGATGTGAGCCCACGTTGTTTTGATAGGATTTATAGTGACAGGGTAGTTGATAAATCACTACTCACGGGGGCTGCTCTTTTGTGTGAAATGCAGAGGAAAAGTTACCTGATGACTTCGCTGAAATTTACCCATAGCTTGGACAAGCATTATGTGCCCATGCTCTGATGGATTGTTTGGTTCATTTGGTTTGTATATTTGATTTTCTTTTTTTTTTCTTTATGAATTTCTTCTTTAATTACGATATTGTTTCCAAAAATTAAATTGTATATAAAAAAAAAATTTCCTTTGGACTACTACTACGTCAAAGGTGGATGACTTGAGACGGATCTTTTTTTTTCCTCATAAAAGGAATATAAAATTAGAACGTGAATAATTTTTATATCAAAATTAGAAATTTAAATTAGAGGCTTAATCACCACTCCCACCATTATAATATCCCTCTCTTTTTGTAATATCTCAAAATAAAAAAAGAAAATAATTCCTCACTTAATAAGTGCATGGATAGTTTTTATTTCAATTCAAATTAGGGAGGGATACATGATAGTTTTTTATAAATAAATTGGGATTTAAACCATTTTATTCCATCTCTATTTTTTATGTAGATCAAATTGTTCTTCCGTTCACAGGATAACAAATTTAGATTTTCTTTATTTATGATGTATTTCACTTGATTCTCCTATCGATTTAGGTTTTAGTTCTCATTTTAAGTTGATACCAATGTATATTGTAATAATAGCAACCATTAATCTATTCTTCAATAGAGATAAGCTCTTCACTCGTACCACTAATATCTATCATCTCTATAAAAATTTAAATATTAGTAAATATCACTAAACCCTCACTAAGTTTAGGTGTTTGACACTAAACCCCAAATAACTTGGAAACTCCCACTAAACCCCCAAAATCCATTGGCAGAAAGCTTCTAAATTAACATTTTAGTTAATGTGTGGTCAAATGATCAAAATACCTTTAATAAATTTTGAAAGAAAACACCCAACAAGTTTTTATTTTTGTCACTTAACCCCTATTAACTTTTCATAGAAAACCCCTAATAATGGTTGTTTATTACTTTCAAGTTTTTGTGTGTAATTTTTAGATTTTTGAGGAGGTTGTTTCTAATTTTTGGATTTTTAAAAAGGATAGTTTGTAATTTTTATATTTTGTGTGGATCTATTTGTGGTAGTTTTTATGTATTTTTGACTTTTTAGGATCTTCTTCAACTTTTATATTTTTAGAGGTTTTTTGGTAATTAGATTTTTTGGTAATTGTTTGTAATTTTTGTACTCTTAAGATATCTATTTCGAGTTTTTAAAGTTTTTAGGGTGTTTTCTATAATTTTTAGAATTTTAAGATGGTCGTTTTTAATTTATAGATTTTTAGGGGGTTCATTGTAACTTTTAGGATTCAAAAGTGATTTTTTTTAGATTTTTAAGGGTTGTTTGTAGTTTCATATTTTGGAGAGGGCTATGTATAAAATTTATATTTTTAGGAATTGTTTATAGTTTTATAGATTAATATGCAAATAGGAATGAGTTCTGGTGTATACATTGTTCTTAAGGGATAATATTCATCATTGTAAAATTATGGGGTACTAATCTCAAGGAGTTGAGTCCAAAAGATCAAAATGATTTGGTAGTTTTCTGTAAATTTAAAACTTATTGAAGGTTTCATAAAATTTGTGGGTTTAGTGCCAAACGACTAAATTTATTGGGTATTTAAAGAAAACTAGTATAATGCACGTGCTTTGTACGTGAACATATATGTTTTAAGTTTTGAATTTTATATTAAATAGCAGAACCATGTATTAATAAATAAAATTTTATAATAAGTTTGCTTAAAAAAGAAATGTATAAATTAGTTATATTGTGTAGTTATTGTAATTGAATATTTTTCTTATAATCATCGCCTAGTGTTAACATTTTTTAAATAAACCCTCAAATCTAAAATTGTTCTCAAGTAAAACTGTCAATTCTATAAATTATCTTAAATATGCCCCTCGAACTTGAAAGTTATTAACTTAGCTCTAAATTAACTAAGTTGCATTAATCTTGCTAGCTTTTTTTTAATGTTCCCCAGATAGTTACACTTGATACCTGCAACAAATTACAATAATTACTTCTCATTATAACTATTTAATACAGTAAATTACAATAAACCTTATGAACTTTCAGTCCATAAAACTTTCAAATTTGCACTAAGCCCGTAATTACTTTTTTGTTTCAAAGAAAACCCCCCAATAACTTTTTAAATTTTGCAGATAATCCCTATAAATTAGAACCTAAAATGGCATAAAACGACATTTTGAAAGTTACTGAGGGTTTGGTGTAATTTATCTAAAAGATATTGGGGGCTTTCTACAAAAGTTATTAGGGGTTTACTGTGATTTTGATAGTTCATAGGATCTATTTACTACAAAATGCTAAAAGTTCATGGGGGGTTCACTATAATTTGCCTTATTTAATATTATAATTCTTAGTTCAAGCTATTAAAATAATTATACTATCTATATACTATAAAATATTTATTTAATTTACTTTTTTAATCATGCTCTTTAAATAATTTAATACTAAAAATATTTATAAATTTTATCATATTATCATTAAAGATTAATAGTACTATTATTAATATTAAATAATTTTTTTGTAAAAAGGTTAGTTTTCAATCATCACCTTGTATAGATTATTCAGTATCATATAATAATCTTTGAGAAAAAACTCTAAAAATAATATTAAATTATTTATTTAATTTATAATACTAAATAAATAGTGTAATTCATAATTTATGCCATATTATTAAAATAATTATACTATTTATGCTACTCAAAATTTATTCTATTTATTTTATTGATCATGTAATTATAGTATAATTCTTAATATTATTTAG